GAGTGCAGTGGCCGCTCCCGGCCACCGCAGCCTCGACCTGCTGGGCTCCGGCGATCCTTCCACCTCAGCCTTCCAAGTAGCTGGAACTACAGGCGTGCACTACCACGCCCAGATAGTTTTTCTTTATTTATTGTAGAGATGAGGGCTCACCAAGTTACCCAGGCAGGTCTCGAACCCGCAGGCTCAGGCAATCCACCCACCTCAGCCTCCCAAGGCATGGGATTACAGGCTGAGCCCCCGAGCCCGGCTAGGCTTTATTAATTCATAAAACTGTACTGCTGACCCTTGAACAACAGAGGCTGAACTGTATGCGACTACTTATATGTGGTTTCCCCCTCATCAATATATTGAAAATATTCTTGGAGATTTGTGACAATTTGAAAAAACTTGCAGATGAATCATATGGCCTAGTAGTATCAAAAAATTAAGAAAAAGTTGTCATGAATGCATACAACTGTTTTATCTTTTGTTACCATAAAATATACACAAGTCTATTATACATTAGAATTTATCAAAACTTATGCACACAAACCCTTACAAACCATACATGACGCCATTTGCAGTCAAGGGAAATGTAAACAAACACAAATATACAGTACTAATATTATAACTGCATAAAATTAAGTGCAGTACATACTGTATTACTGTAATAACCTAACAGCTACCTCTTATACTTATTGCAGTGAGTTACTGTTCCCAGTATCCGCTTAAAACACCATGTGATGCTAATCATCTCTGCATAAGTTCATCTCTCCAGTAAACTGCATACCACAGTAAAAAGTGATCTCAGGCCAAGCGTGGTAGCTCACGCCTGTAATCCCAACACTTTGGGAGGCTGAGGTGAGGACTGCCTGAGCCCGCGGGTTCGAGATCAGCCTGGGCAACTTGGTAAGACCTCAAATATACAATAAATTAAAAAAAAATTAGCCAGGCGTGTGCCTGTAGTTCCAGCTACTTGGAAGGCTGAGGCAGAAGGACCGCCTGAGCCCCTCAGGCCGAGGCTGTGGTAGCCATGAGCGTGCCAATTCACTCTAGCCTGGGCGACAGAGTGAGACTCCAACTCAAAAACGGAAAAAAAAAAAAAGAAAAAAGAAAAGTGATCTCCTGTGGGTCTCTTGTGTTTTTTTGTTTAGTACAACACTGCAAGACCCATATGAAGGGCCACTAGTGATGATGGAAGTGTTCCCAAGGAGCAGACAAAAGTCATGATATTGTAATAAAAAGCTGAATTGCTTGGTATATCATAGATTAAGGTCTGCAGTTACCCGCCATTTCAAGAGAAATGAATCCAGCAATAAACTACTGTAAAAAAACAAAACAAAAGGAAATCCATGAAGTTGTTATTGCCACTATGATAGCAGATGCAAACATTGTGCTATGACGGCGGTTGCAAAACTTGTGCACATTTTCTGAAATATCTTTTTACCTCATGTTGAAAATGCAGTTTATTTTTATTTTTTATTTTTTTGAGTTGGAGTCTTACTTTGTCGCCCAGACTGGAGTGCAATGGCCACTCCCGGCCACCACAGCCTCAACCTGCTGGGCTCTGGTGATCCTTCCACCTCAGCCTTCCAAGTAGCTGGAACTACAGGCTGAGCCCCTGAGCCCGGCTGCAGTTTTTTTTTAAAAGCAGGATTTTTATTTTTTTGAGTTGGAGTCTGTCACCGAGACTGGAGTGCAGTGGCATGCTCCTGGCCACTGCAGCCTCAACCTGCTGGGCTCCAGCGATCCTTCCACCTTGGACTTCCAAGTAGCTGTAACTACAGGTGCATGCTACCACACCCGGCTAAAAAGCAGAATTTATTGAGAGGACAGAAAAGCTCCCACTGTGGGAGGGTCCCCAGAGGGTTGCCCAAAAATGCAGCTTTTACGTAAGTCCAAGATTGCTGTAACAAAGGCATACCTACAGACTCTAATAAGATTAGAGAAAAAGCAGCCACCTGACAATGTAAAGCAAAAGGAAGGTGAAGGATCTAAAGGTGGAGAATTTAATGCCAGCAACGGATAGTTTGATAATTTCAGAAAGAGATCTGTCTGGTTTAAAAATGTCAAGATACAGAAGATGCTCCTCTGTGGACCAAGAGACAGCAAACGAGTTCCCAGGCACCAATAAGAAAATCACTAAGAAAGGACATCATCTGAACAGGTTTTTGATGCAGACAAAAAGTACTTTATTCTGGAAAAAAGTGCCACGAAGGACATTTATTAGTAAGTAAGAGAAAGGAGCACCAGAATTTAAGGCAGGCATAAGGCTAACTCTATTGCTCTATTGTTTTGTGCAAATGCAGTCAGGTTTATGATCAGGACTGCCCTTACCTATAATGCTGCTAACCCCTGACTGAGACTTGAAGGGAAAAGATAAACACCAGCTGCCAGTCTAGTGGTTGTACAAGGAGGTCCGGACAACGAGAACACTTTTTCTGTATTACTTTCACTGATATTTTGTCTCTGAAGTCTGGAAGTACCTTGACAGAAGGGGATTACCCTCTAAAGTTCTTCTGATGTTAGATGATGCCCCTGGACACCCAGAACCCCCTAAGTTCAACACCAACAGTGAAGAGGTCTACTTGCCCCCAAACATAATGTCTCTAAGTCGGTCTCTAGATCATAGGGTCACATAAGGACCTGTAAAGGCTCATTAGGCCAGGCTTGGTGGCTCAGCCGGTAATCCCGTGCTTTGGGAGCCCGCGGGTTCGAGACCCACCTGGGCAACTTGGCAAGACCTCATCTCTACAATAAATCAAAAATTAGCCAGGCGTGGTAGCGTGTGCCTATAATTCCAGCTACTAGGAAGGCTGAGGTGGAAGGATCGCGAGAGCTCAGCAGGTCAAGGCTATGGTGGCCGGGAGCGGCCACTGCACTCCAGTCTGGGCGACAGAGTGAGACTCCAACTCAAAAAAATAAAATAAAATAAAATAAATAAAGGCTCATTAACACATGGTACTCTACGTACATTGCCAATGTTATGGAAGAGAACCTAGAGAGAACATGACAAAGTCTGGAAGGATTACACCACTGAATATGCCATCATTGCTACAGAGAAAGTCATGAAAGCCATCAAGCTCCAAACAATAAATTCCTGCAGGAGAAAACTATGTCCAGATGCTGTGCATGACTTCAAGGATTTATAACAGTGCTAATAAAGGAAATCATGAAAGAGACACTGGATATGGCTGGAAAGGTGGTGGTGGTGGTAGGGAGGTAAAAGGTTTTAAGATATGAATCTTAGAAAAATTAAAGAGCTGGTCAGGCTCGGTGGTTCAGCCTGTAATCCCAGCACGTTGGGAGGTGGAGGTGAGTGGACTGTCTGAGCCCATGGGTTGAACACCATCCCAGGAAACTTGGCGGGACCTTGTCTCTATCTACAATAAATCAAATATTAGCCAAATGTGGTAGCGTACGCCTGTAGTTCTGGCTACTTAGAAGGCTGAGACGGAAGGACCGCCAGAGCCCAACAGGTTGACGCTGGGATGGCCGTGAGTATGCCACTGCTCTCCAGCCTGGGCAACAGAATGAGACTCCAACTCGGAAAAAAGAAAAAAAAAAGAAAAGAAAGAAAAGAAAAATTAAAGAGCTAACAGAGGCCAGGTGCATTGGCTCACGCCTGTAATTCTAATACTCTGGGAGGCCAAGGTAGGAGGACTGCCTGAGTCCAGGAGTTCGAGACCATCCTAGGCAACACAGCAAGACCTCATCTCTACAAAAAAAAAATAAAAAAATTAGTCAGGCATGGTAGTGTGTGTCTATAGTCCCATTACTTAGGAAGCTGAGGCAGAAGGGTAACCTGAGCCCAGAAGGTTGAGGCTACGATAAGCCATAATCATGCCACTACACTCCAAGGCTGGGTGACAGAGTGAGACTCTGACTCAAAAAAAAGAGGGGGAGCTGGGCTCAGTGGCTCAGCCTGTAATCCCAGCACTTTGGGAGGCCGAGGCGAGTGGACTGCCTGAGCCCATGGGTTCGAGACCAGCCCAGGCAACTTGGTGAGACCTCGTCTCTACAATAAAATAAAAAATAGCCAGGTATGGTAGCATGTCTGTAGTTCTGGCTACTTAGAAGGCTGAGGTGAAGGATCACTGGAGCCCAGCAGGTCGAGTCTGGGGTGGCCATGAGCGTACACTCCAGTCTGGGCAAAGGAATAAGACTCCAACAACCCTCCCCCCCAAAAAAAAGGGGAGGAAGCAAGTAATAGACACCACACCAGAGGAATAAAAAGATGACTTGAATGAGATGAGTGCTTCCAAAGCAATGCCAGCAATGAGAAAGAAGCTATAGAAGAAGCAGTGCTAGAAAACAAACTGGTATTATACACTCTGGCAGAAAGGTTCCAATTCTTCTTTTTTAGGGGGGTCAGAGTCTCACTCTGTTGACCAAGCTGAAGTGCAATGGCACTCTCACCACCACTGAAGCCTCGACCTGCTGGGCTCAGGAAATCCTTCTGTCTCAGTCTTCCAAGTAGCTGGATCTACAGGCATGCACCACGCCTGGCTAATTTTGTTTTGATTTATAATACAGACAAGGGCTCACAAGTTGCCCAGGCTGGTCTCGAACCCCTTGGTTCAGGCAATCCTCTTGCCTCTTTTTCCCAAAGTGCTGGGATTACAGGTGTGAGCCACCATGCCCGACTGGTTCCAATTATTCAATACTGCTTTTGACTTCTTTTACCACATGAATCCTTCTATGACAGGAATACTGAAACTAAAGCAAACAGTAGAAGAAAGATTGGTTCTGGATAGAAACTTTTAGAGAAATGAAAAACAAGTCAGATAAAAATTATGATGTATTTCCAATGAGTTACACCAAGTATGCCTGACTATCCCGCCTCCCTTTCCATCGCCGCTGCCACCAGAGACAGCAAGACCAATCCCTCCTTTTCCTCCACTGAGTACTCAACATAAAGGTAAAGCTGAAGACCTCTATGGTGACCCTCTCCCACTTAATGAATAGTAAATATATTTTTTCTTATGATTTCCTTAGTAACATTTTTTTCTCTAGCTTCCTTTATTTTAAGAATACAGTATATAATACTTATGATGTATAAAATATGTTAATTGATTATATTATTGGTAAGGATTTCCATCAACAGGAAGTTGTAAGTTTTTGGGAAGTCAAAACTTACATGTGGATTTTCCACTGCTTGGGGGTTGATGCCTCTACCCCCCATGTTGTTCAAGGGTCAGCTGTATACCTAAGGCAACCAATTATCAGTATTTTAACCAGATACAGTTGAATTTTATTTTATTTTATTTTATTTTGAGTCAGAGTCTCACTCTATCGCCCAGGCTGGAGTGCAGTGGCAAGCTCATGGCCACTGCAACCTCAATCTGCTGGGCTCAGGCAAACCTTCCTCCTCAGCCTTCCAAGTAGCTGGAACTGCAGGTGCGCACCACCATGCCTAGTTAATTTTTTGATTTATTGTATAGACAAGGTCTTGCCAGGTTACCCAGGCTAGTATCAAACTCATGGGCTCAGGCAATCCTTTCGCCTCAGCCTCCCAAAGTGCTAGGATTACAGGTGTGAGTCACCATAGCTGGCTCAGGTACTTAAAATCAAAGCATACTAAAATTTGGACAGACGAGTTCGCATGTACACCTTACATGTACATACCACATAATGGTCATTTTTGGATATAACCCATTCTGTACTGCCCTTGAGTCTCATGGCCAATAATAGAATTATATCAAAGATTCAAGTCAAGCAAGGAGGAAGGTAAGTATTAAGTACAGTTGGCCAGCTATATTCGTGGGTCTCGCATCCACAGATTCAACCAGTAATGGACTAAAAATACTATTTTGGGGGAAAAACAATACAACATTAAAACACAAATAAGAAAACAACAGTATAGTAACTATATAGCATTTATCCTGTAAGAAACATTGCAAGTAATCTAGAGATAATTCAGTGTACAGAAGGATGTGCGTAGGTACACAAACACGCCATTTCATGTATAAGGGACTTGAGCATTCATGAATTTTGGTATCCAAGAGGAAGGTACTGGAACTAATCAGCATGCGGAATCAATTGTGTGTAGGTATGTATGCCCAAAGCCATTTCAGAGCAAGAAAAAATATAAAATTTGATTTGAATCTATGATATATTATGTGATGTTGGGGTAGATTTGTCAGTCTGTTTTTTTGTTTTGAGGTGGAGTCTCACTCTGTTGCCCAGACTGGAGTGCAGTGGCCACTCCTAGCCACCGCAGCCTTGACCTACTGGGCTCTGGCGATCCTTCTGCCTCAGCCTTCCAAGTAGCTGGAACTACAGGCGCGTGCTACCATGCCCAGTTAATTTTTGATTTATTGTAGAGATGAGGTCTCACCAAGTTGCCCAGGCGGGTCTCGAACCCGCGGGCTCAGGCAATCCACTCATCTCAGCCTCCTAAGGCGCAGGATTACAGGCTGAGCCATCGAGGGTTTGTCAGCTTTTTAATAAATTAGTATTAAAAACAAGTGGACTCTGCTGGGCATGGTAGTATGTGCCTGTAGTCCCAGCTACTCAGAAGGCTGAGGCAGGAGGATTGCTTGAGGCCAGGTCTTGGTAAAATAGACTGTGTCATCCTATTAAAAAAAAAAAAGGCCAGGCTCAGTGGCTCAGCCTGTAATCCCAGTACTTTGGGAGGCCGAGGCGAGTGGATTGCCTGAGCTCACGGGTTCAAGACCCACATGGGCAACTTGGCGAGACCTCATCTCTACAGTAAAAATTAAAAAATAGCCAGGCGCATGCCTGTAGTTCCACCTACTTAGAAGGCTGAGGCGGAAGGATCACCAGAGCCCAGCAAGTCGAGGCTGCGGTGGCCAGGAGCATGCCACTTGCACTCCAGTTTGGGCAACAGAGTGAGACTCCAACTCAAAAAAAAAAAAAAAAAAAAAAGACCCATGCGGTGGATAACTGTTGGACTAGAAGCTTCTGAAGAGGGCAGGCTTCTAAGTACAGGTTATTTCCACCTGTTACTGTATCCTATATTAAACCTTTTCGGACAACGAAGACTACATTATGCAGCCACAAAAAGGAAACACATGGGAAAAAAGAATTTTATTTTACCTGGCCTACTCACCTAGCAATGCGATTATTGTCTGTCTTCCGGACTCTGCGGATGGCTGTGATATTGGCCCGCATGAGGTAGTGCTGAGCTAAATCTGCAAATCCAAGAATAGAGATGGCAATCTGGATTCTGAACTGGTTTTATCTTCAAAGTACTGTTACCATCACGCATTTATTATGTGTATGCCAACATGAAGGGAAAAAAATTACCTAGTCATGTCTACCTCAAAGATAGGCTGGAAAAATTAAGTCTCACCTGAGATGCCCTTTTCTGTGATGACCACATCAGGTTTCAGTTGGATAATGTCCTCACAGAGCTGCTGGATGTATTCTTCCTCCATTTGGAGGATTCGGGTGAAGTCTTCCTCTCGCGTAATCTCAATGTCAGTCTGTGCGGTAAATAAAAAGTCACTCTGACTTAAACATCCCTGGACAGGGCCAGGCATGGTGGCTCAGGCCTATAATCCTAGCACTTTGGGAACCAGAGGGAGGAGGATCACTTGAATCCAGAAGTTTGAGACCAGCCTAGGAAACATAGCAAGATCTCCTCTCTATAAAAAAATCAAATTATCTGGGTATGGTGGCACGCACCTGTAGTTCCAGCCACTAGGAGGCTGAGGCAGAACGATCTCCTGAACCCAAAAGACTGAGGCTGTGGTGAGTCGTGATTGTGCCACTGCACTACAACATAGGTAACAGAGTGAGGCTCCAACTCGGGGGAAAAAAAAATCCACGGAATGGTGAAACTCTTTAGGATCTTATTATACTCCCTCCACCCAGCTCTCTCACAAATCCCAGAGTTAGAATCATGCTAAAGCCATGCTCGGTTTAACTCTAGCTATCCATCTAGTTTAATTCCTTTTATTATAACACAACAGGAACTCAGAGTCACATAGCAATTAGCTGTGAGTCTGGTCTAAGGTTTCTGACCATTCAGTGCTGTGTTACCCCTGTCCTGCCAACATGCAAAGAAATTCTAGGCCTTAATTATTCTCACTAATTAAGCCGATTCTTATTCTCTCCAAGGATGCTAAGAGGTTTGTGAGCCTCCTGCTCCCTAGAAATTCTCCATTAGTACTTCAAACCTAAATTAATTCCTACTTTATGTTCTCCCACTATTAGAAAAGGTGGCATGATAGTATAAAACTGACCCAGACAGGACTGGGTTCAAATCTTGATTTGGCCAGTACTTACCAGCTGTGTTCCTCAGGCAATTAACCTAACCTCTCTGTTTCAGATCCCTCATCTGTAAAATGGAGTCAACAAGGATTATTCTGGCTGGGTGCGGTGGCTCACACCTATAATCCCAGCACTTTGGGAGGCTGAGGTGAGAGGACTGCCCTAGTACACAGATTGGAGACCAGCCTGGGCAACTTGGTGAGACCTCATCTCTACAATAAATCAAAAAAATTAGCCGGGCATAGTGGCGTGTGCCTGTAGTTCCAGCTACCTGGAAGGCTGAGGTGGAAGGATCGCCTGAGCCCAGGAGGTCAAGGCTGTGGTGGCCAGGAGTGTGCCACTGCTCTCCAGTCTAGGTGACAGAGGTGAGACTCCCAACTCAAAAATAAAAAATAAAGGACTGTTCTAAGAGTTACTGGACATAACTAGCACAGAGAAGGCATGCAATAAACTCATCTTTTATTTTACCTTGACAATATTAGCAGTTAGATTTTTGCACCCACTTTAAGAAATAGGGTCAGGGCCGGGCTCAGTGGCTCAGTCTGTAATCCCAGCACTTTGGGAGGCCGAGGCGAGAGGACTGTCTGAGCCCGCGGTTTCAAGACCTGCCCGGGCAACTTGGCGAGACTTCATCTCTACAATAAAATCAAAAACTAGCCAGGCGTGGTAGTGCGCGCCTGTAGTTCCAGTTACTTGGAAGGCTGAAGTGGAAGGATGGCCAGAGCACAGCAGGTCGAGGTTGTGGTGGCCAGGAGTGTGCCACTGCACTCCAGTCTGGGCGACAGAGTGAGACTCCAACT